TACATGACATGGCTATGAACCCAAGGGTGCCCACTGGAATTCTGAGATCAACCAGACAAGAAAAGTGAAGATTGGGCCAACATGGGAATGGGAGAATCTTTACGGTAAGTTTTGGTATTATTTCTATGTAGTATAAATAGTTGTGTTATTAAACAAAGTGTCTGGGATGCTAAACCTGTTTATCAAGTCAGCAGGTCGGATAAATAAGGACAAGCCCTATATTGGTTGCAATGGGTGGAACAAAGATGAAGCTGTCTGATATGCTTTTGGATGTAACCTGATTTTCATATATGGAGACAAATTATATGGCAGCACCATCCCTTTAAAAATTAGATTATCTCATCTTATTTTCCCCTATAGAGTTTGGTATGTTTAGTATGTCAGTGGGAATGTGTGCATGTGTATGTGCCTTTAAGTCACCTGTCAATGGTTACCCCATTAATTTTTCTTAAGGATTTTCCTAAGCAAAGAATACTCAGAGGTGGTTTTGCCGGTTACTTCCTCTGAAAAACAGCACCTGGTATTCACCAACAATCTCCCATCCAAGGACTAACAAGGGCTGACTCTGCTTATCTTCCAAGTCCATCAGCTAAAACCAGGGATTTTCTATTAAGAGTTGGGAAAGAATCACATCTGGAATGCCAGAAAACTACTGCCTGTCAGAACTGAATTAGTGGATTAAATTGGTTTAGATGGAATTCAGCACTATTCTGTACAATCTGATTTAACATAAGATAGCTTTCCACATTCTAATATTTACCATTGATAATAATACAGACTAATGGATATCAACTGCAAATAATAATAATAATATATTTATTATTCATTATTAATCATTATTAATCATTAATTATTAATTATTATAATTATTCATTATCCATTATTCATTATTATTAATTATAATTATAATTTATTATTTATTATTCGTTATTCATTATTCATTATTAATTATAATTATTAATTATTATTCATTATTAATTATTTATTGGAACTTGTGCCACAAATACCATCTGCCTGCAACAAAGAACTGGTGGGATCACAAGCCGGAAAAAGTTACAGAGAATGAACATGCCAAACTCCTCTGGAACTTCTGAATTCAGACAGAGAGAGTTCTGGAGCACAACACTCCTGACCTCATAATCGTGTTAAAAAACAAAGTATGGATCATTGATGTTGCAATCCCAGGTGACAGCAGAATTGTAGAGAAATAACTGGAAAAGCTGACACGATATGAGGATTTAAAGATCAAACTGCAAAGACTCTGGCACAAATCAGTCAAGGTGGTCCCAGTGATGATCGACACACTGGGTGCAGTGCCTAAAGACCTTGGCCTGCACTTAAACACAATCGACGCTGACAAAATTACCATCTGCCAGCTGCAGAAGGCCACCTTACTGGGATCTGCACACATTATTTGCTGATACATCACACAGCCCTAGACTTGGGAAGTGTCTGTCGTGTGATCCAATTCAACAGCCAGCAGAGTGTCTGCTGTGAACTCATCTTTTTGTGTTTCAAATAATAGTAATAATTTATTTCTATACCACCCTCTCTCCCCGAAGAGACTCAGAGTGGTTCACACATAAGAAGGCAGACATTCAATGCCTAAGTGAGTACAAAACATATCAAAACATATCAAAATATATGATAGAGCACAATAATGACAGTGAGTTTATCATGAAGAATTAAGCATTGAGATAAAAATGCTTATAAAATATCTGGTCCTGATAAAGAATATCTTTAAAAAGAATACTGGATCTTATGACATTTTATTGTAGACTAGCTGTACCCGCCACACGCTGCTGTGGCCAACCTTCCCTCACTCTTTCTTTCCTCCTTTCTTTCTCTCCTACCTTCCCTCCCTCCCTCTTTCCTTCCTTCCTTTTTTACTTTCCTTCTCTCCTTCCTTCTTTCTCTTCCACTTCCCTTTCTTACTTTCCCCACTTTTCTTTCCCTTCCTCTTTCTCCCCTTTCTTCCTTCTTTACCTATTTTTGGACTGCAACTCCCAACAGTCCTCCTGCTCAATCTATCTACCTACCTACCTATCTCTATCTAATCTATCTGTCTCAGGAGGGTTGAAAATTGGGAGGGGAGGTTGAAACCTGCCTCCTAGCTCACACTGAAGCAAAGAGCACAGCAGGGGGCAGAGCAGCCATCAACAGCCTGCAGCTCCGCCCCTGTCAACCATCTCCACCAAGTCTGGCCTCCTTAATGAGAGCATTCAACACCCTCACCCCCCCCCCCAACTTGGTTGCTTCACTACATCGGCTATTGCTGCAAGTAATGACAGTGTGAATAAATTGTCAATATTTACTTGAGATAGTGTTTGCAGTTCTGGAGGGACTCTTAATTTTTTGTGTCTCATAGACTTAGCATGGGGATTTGGTTAACTAGTTAAAATTCATGAGTAAACCAGGTTTTGTCTTAACCTGCAAATTGGGGGGTGGGAGTTGAACCCCTAACCCCCCCTCCCCCGTCTACACTCCTGATCTGTCTTATCTATCTGGAGGATTACTGGTAGTTGCAGTCCAGGCATAGGGAAATGGAAATATGCAGGGATTGGGATGACCTCAGAGAAATCCAAGGAGAAGAAAACTTGCAGCTTGGAAAAAGAGCATTTGGATCATCCTCCTCTCCTAAAGAGACTGGTCTAGGGGATGCTGGGGGTTGTAGTCCAGGAGAGAGTGTGGATATGCTATTGTGTGTTTTGTTTGCCATGAGGAGTTGTTTTTGTGCATGCGCTGTAGCATCTTTTTGCTTTTTTGGCCTTTTAAAGTCCCTTCTGTTGTGTTTTTCAGTGTTTTATGAGTGATGGTCACTTGTTGGCCTGATAGGTTTATTGTGTCCAAATTTCGTGTCAATTTGTTCAGTGGTTTTTGAGTTAAGTTAGTCCCACAAATGAACATTACATTTTTATTTATATAGATTAAGTTGATTTAACAATTAGGTTTATGTTAATAATTATGAATACAAAGTTAAAACCAATAAAAATGGTAGGACAAAAGCATAATAGAAAAAAATATGATAAGTTTTCTTTATCTACTGGTGATGTCCATAATATGAGCCTATTATAAGAGAACAACCTGACTTCTACCCTTAAAAATACATAGTCTTTATCCTTATGTTCCTACTCATCAACTTTTGTGAAAGTCACAAAATTCTAGCCAATGATTACAAAACAGTGAAGTGGTATCAAGTGTACATCTAACAGTGCAAGTAAGGCAAAAGTGTGTTAATTTATTGGTTGTTTGGAAGGTTGCTGACAGTGTGAAGTTTGTGATCAAAACATTTTCAATTACAAATAATGGAGACAATGATTTTTTTTACTATTGTGATGTGAATGTGGCTGTTTGAAAGAAAAAAAATACTGCACCTGTTAAGATCAGAAACTCTCATCCAGAATCTGTTCTGCCAAGATGCAGTAAAATGAAATGGGAAGATATATGATGATTGGAATTTGAAGCCTTGTGCAAAGATGAGTCATGCTTCCCTGTGTAGTGTTAATGAATCACAATGAGTCTCCAAAATACTGATTGTATAATTAATTTCCATGTGCCACCTACGAAATAGCTATTAGCACATGTCTCTTTTCTGCCTTTTCCCTTAATCAGTGGTTTAGCTCTTAAGATTTTACTCCCATTAAATGATCTTCTGAGAAAAGGGGCTTTAAATAATTTTATTTGAGTTAACACATTTGATTTACGTGTTCTACTCCATTACATTTAAATCTTAACGTGGAATTGGAATATTTGTAACAATGTCAAGGGAAAAGCGAAGCCCGCGTTGGCGTAGAGCAGTGGTTCTCAACCTGGGGTCCCCAGATGTTTTTGGCCTACAACTCCCAGACATCCCAGCTAGTTTACCAGTTGTTAGGATTTCTGGGAGTTGAAGGCCAAAAACATCTGGGGACCCCAGGCTGAGAACCACTGGCGTAGAGGGTTAAAGCTCTGAGCTGCTGAACTTACAGACCAAAAGGTGGGTGGTTTGAATCCAAGGAGCGTGGGGAGCTCCCGCTGTAAGCCCCAGCTTCTGCCAAACTAGAAGTTCGAAAATATGCAAATATGAGTAGATAAATAGGTTAAGCGGCTGTGGGGGGAAAGGAAAGGGCCTGAGGCTATTAGGAATTGTGGGAGTTGAAGTCCAAAACACCTGGAGGACCAGAGTTTGCCCAGGCCTGATCTACACTGTACAATTAAGGCAGTTTGACACCACTTTACTGCCATGGCTCAATGCAATTGAATCCTGGGAGATGTGGCTTGACAAGATGTGTAGCCTTCTCTGCTGGTGCCTCATCAAACTACAAACAACGTCAGGGATGCCACAGCACTGCGCCAAGGCACTTCAAGTGGCGTCAAATTTCATTCATCCAGATGCGACATGGCCCATTCATTTTCCTTGTCGCCCAATCCCTTTAGTTTTCTTTCCCCCCGCCTATTTATGCTTTAGTCCCGCCCCGAAGTCCCTGTGCGCTCTTCTGATTGGGTGCCACGCAAGGGAGTCAACACGCCCCCCCTCCTCAGTCGATACTAAGCATGCGCCTAATGTGTCTACGCTCATGTGATTGTGTCCCATGCAAGGGACTCAGCTCTGACTTCTCAGCCAATACTACGCATGCGCAATGTTGTCCTGGCTTAATGTGTCTGCGCCCTTGTGATTGGATTCCACGCAAGGGACTCAGCGCGGCTTTCTCAGCCAATACCACGCATGCGCAATGTTGTCCTGGTTTAATAAGTCTGTGCTTTTGTCATTGGGTCCCAGGCAAGGGAGTCAGAACAGCTTTCTCAGCCAATACTACGCATGCGCAACATGTGTCTGCGCCCTTGTGCTTGTGTCCCATGCAAGGGACTCAAAGCGGCCGTCTCAGCCAATACTACGCATGCGCAGTATTGTCCTGGCTTAATGTGTCTGCGCCCTTGTGATTGGGTCTCATGCAAGGGATTCATCGCTGCCGTCTCAAGCAATACTACGCATGCGTATTGTTGCCTTAATGCTGCGCGCCTACGAGTGACTCCCACGGAAGCGGCTCAACGCTCCTACCGGCAGCCAGTACCACGCATGCGCGTTGCTAAGGCTACGCCCCCCACCCCAGGGCCTCCCAAGCCGGAAGCGACGGCAGGCGACTTCCTTCCCGGCGTGACTATGCGGCGCTGCGTGGCTTCCGGGTTGGCTGTTGTGCCCGGCGCTTGGGCCTTGGTCAGAGGGAGCCGGGGCCGATGTTGAGGCGCCGGGCGGCCGGCCAAGGAGGGTTAGGCGGCGAGGCCTGGCCATGGAGAAGATCCTGGAGGGCCTGGTGAGCTCCACACACCCGCTGCCGCTGAAGCGCGCGATCGTGCGGCGGGTGGTGGAGTCGGCGGAGGCGCCGCTGAGCGAGCCGCAGTGCCGGGCCATGTTCGAGCTCAGCACCCGGCTCATCCTGCAAGGGCCAGACCCCTTCCAGCGGCAGGTGGGGCGGCAGGTGCTCGAGGCCTACGCCCGCCACCACCGCGCCGCCTTCGAGGCCTTCTTCACGCGAGACCTGGTGCTGGCCTTGCTCCGCGGCGCCGGAGGAGAAGGCCCGGCCTCGGCCTGCCTCCCCTCGGGCCTGGACCCGGCCGTGCTGGACTACATCCAGGGCGGGCTGCGGCTGCTCATCAGCTGCCCGGCGGTGCTGGAGCTCTTCGCGCTGCTGCAGGAGGAGGCCTCGCGGCTGGTGGGCGAGCGGCCCCCGGCCCCGCTCTGCGCCCGCCTCTGCCAGCTCCTCTCCGACTTCCCGCAGTGCCTGCCCCGCGGGAGGAAGGCCGCGCTCGGCTTCTGCCAGCAGCTGGTGCGCAGCATCGCCCACTTCCAGACGCAGGGCACCCGCGAGGCCGAGCTGCGCCTCTACGTCGCCCAGGTCAGCCAGGTCAGCGGCCTGCTCCGCAGCGTCTGGAAGACGGAGCCCGACACGCTGCTGCCCTCCTTGCAGGAGCTCTTCGCCATCATCTCTTCCACTGGTCAGTCGGCTCCCCCCTTCAGCTGCTTTCTCTCTCTTGCGGGGTCTGTTTCACAAGAGCCTTTGACACTACACCAGGCATGAGCAAATTTGGCCCTTTAGGTGTTTTGGACTTCAATTCCCATCATTCCTAACAGCCTCTCAGGCCCTTTAATATGTCATAAGTATTTTTTAAAACCTTAAATTTATTTTGCTTTTAGTGAGACAGGTTGCATTAGGCACTTTCAGAGAAACAGTAGACACAGACTCCAGTACTGGGTTTTATAATAATTAAATTGGTTACCAGGCATGTACCCGGGTGGGGGGGGGGGTTGAGGGGCTTCAGCCCCCCCCCCCCCAATTCTCATGGTGGTTTATGAAAAGGCCTTACTGGTGCAATATTTAAACTGTTATGTTTATTCATATCATGATCTGATCACCATACTCAATATATCCCATATGCATGGGGGTATTGGGGTAATGATACAAAAGGTTTGCTAGGGTAGACCCTCTTTCACTCAGACTCCCCCCCCCCCCCCGAATTGAAATCCTGGCTACGGGCCTGTTGGTTACATAGACAAAGGGGGAATATTGCATCAATGTTTACACATATACTTTAACATTCATTCATCATTCATTCATTCATCAAGCATTCTTATCATTCTTTTTGTTGAAGATGATCAGTTTCTTCTCTCTGAGAGAGAAGGGTCCTTTTATGTAGTATTTTCTGTTGATGTGGTTCTGAAAGTTGTAAGTTACTGACAGATTCCATCAGTTCCTGGACAGATGTTGATTTTGTTTAATTGGCTTTCCTTATCAAGGAGGCTTGTAAACATTTCTGTAAGGAGCCACAGTGTTGACTTCTTTACTTAAAAGAACCATTTACTATGGCAATGTAAACAAGTTGTTTTTCCACCAAGAGTTCATGAAGTCAGAATGTCAACAGTTAATCATTTGTCTCAAATCTCATCAGCAATTTTTAATTAGTCCATGAGTTCTTCACCTCTGTCTTGTAGTTTTCCAGGCCTCATTCCTTAGAATGGTATCTTCAGCCCAATTGGGCCACATTCGTACGCCTTTAATATAGTCTCACTCAAACCATACAGCATATTTTATCATGACACCTTTTCCCCCTCAGCCACTTAAGCTTGATTGTCCCTTGTCCAGAATTCCAAATTATTCCAAAATCATCCACATGAGTGACTGAGATAATGACACCTTTTGCCTTCTGACAGTTCAATGAAGACAAGCATTTTTTCATGCAAAAAAAATATTTAAAATGTTGTGTATGAAATTACCTCCAGGCTAGGTGTATATGAAACAGAAATGAATTTTGCATTTAGGTTTGGGTCTAAGCTCTTAAGCCACCTTATAGCATCAGTGATGTGGATGCCCCCTTGCTGTGCTAATTTTCTATTTGCAAGGAACACTTAAGATAGCAGTTTGAAAACATACAAATGTGAGTAGATTAATAGGTACCACTTCGGTGGGAAGGTAATGGCATTCCACGCAGTCAAGCCAGCTCAGCGGTGTTTCCCCTGACTCCACCACATGCCGCATGATCATGCGCTTCAGTGGCAGCGGGCACATGGAGCTTAAGTGGCAGAGGGGGAAATGCCCTTCTCTGAACTGCAAATTCCAGTGTTTTATAGGACAAAACAGTAGCAGTTAAATAGTGTGTCCTAATGCCTTTCTTGCATTAGGTTTTTGCTATCATCTCCACTTGCACATAAATTGTTTCTCCTTTAGCTGATTAACTGCCTGACTTAATCCAGTGGGATCTTGGCATTTGTAGTTTGGGAGGCTGTAGAACTCTTTGGTCAAGAATTCCAAATGTTTATCCCTGAACTGCAAATCCCAGTGTTCCTTATGAAGGGACCATGGCAGTTAAAGGGATGTTAAGGCACTGAAGTTATGTACAAGCATCTCTTATCCTGAATTATAAAATCCAAAATATTTTGAAATTTGGATGTCACATTTGCTTACTGATGGTTCAGTGTACACAAACTGCTTCGTCCACAACATTATTAAAATACTGTGTACAAAATTACGTCCATGTTATATGTATATGGTGTATGTAAAACATTTCATGTTTAGACTTGGATCCTTACTACAAGATTATGTACATATAAGAAAATACAGGTATTCCAAAATCCAAAACTCCTGATCCCAAGCATTTTATATAAGGGAAAATTCATCTGTAGAGTAAAAGAGCCCATTAAACAAACAAGAAGTGGGGTTGGTTTAGAACAGTGTTCTCTGTTTCTTTGCATTCTGTGATATGCAAATAACCAATAAATGATTGAGCCTCCAGTGTTGCTAGCTCAATAATGCTTTCATGCTCATGAAGTTCATTTTCAATTATGTTTACCAACTCATTGTGCAATCAGGACACATTTCCTGTGCTGGAGGAATATTTAAATTGGACTAATGGCTATGGTGACCAGGAGTCTCGGCAAAGGCAGTAATTAGCTGTGACAGATCCCTTTATGTAGGCTGGCCCCAAAACATCAACCCCTAAGAATCCTGCCATTCATCCTGCCCATATTCCTCCAGATACTCTCCTGTTAGATTGGGTTACTAGTCTTTAGGTTCGCCCTTTAAATGTGAACCTGTGGCTTTGTTGTTGTGTGGGTTCTTTAGTTTTGGAATATGTAGCATTGATTCCCAATTTGAGCTTGATAGAGAGCCAGAGGCAGGTCTAACACTACAATAATAGATTTATTGAACACAATCCCTAATAATCTATTCTCTAAACTTCTCAAAACGATAGAAAGTTGTGCTTCTTTCCTCTTATACAAAATCCCGCATCTGTCCATTCAAAACCCACTGTGTCAATTTGACAGTCAGTGCCAGTTCAGAACTCTCTCAGCCTCTCCCAGGGGCAACTCTTGTCTTTTGATATATTCTGTTTCCCCCAAAGCCCCTGTTACAACCTACTTTCTATTAAGCCATTTAGCATTTATATAATATATTGTGACGACAGTAATTTAGGACCCAGACAGACTCAAAACGGGGGACCTGTGCCAGGTTTACCTGAGGGATCAAAATGACGCCTCAAGTAAACCTGAATTAATCTGTAGTAAACTGGGGGCCCTTCCACACAGCTCTATATCCCAGAATATCAAGGCAGAAAATCCCACAATATCTGCTTTGAACTGGGTTATCTGAGTCCACGCTCAGATAATGTGGGATTTCTTGCCTTGATATTCTGGGATATGGGGCTGTGTGGAAGAGCCCCCAGTTTACTACAGATTAATTCAGGTTTACTTGAGGCTTCATTTGGATTTGCCAGTTTACTCTGGATTGATAAAACACCTGGAAAGATCTGAACCTTAATGTAAGGTCTGGATCTTTCCAGGTGTAGGCCCTGTGGGGATTTATTCCTGGACCTGCTTCGATTATCTCAAGGGTCAATCCCCACGCAGTCTCGGTTCTTCAGGCTCCTGGAACTAGAAGGAGCAAGATGGCGCCACCAGCCTCCCCTCCCATCACCCCACTTCCCCCCAAGACTTACAGTAGAAGCCTGGCTGCATGCTCAGTGGGAAGCAGGAACAACTGATTCTATAGCATTTTAGCCTTCACTAATCTAGTGACCTCCAGATTCCTTTACTTGCAATTGCTGAATGGCTGAGTGTGCATTCTAATGGTACGTCTGGCTTTAAATGCACTAAGCAGCTATTGTATTAAACAATTGCTTCATAACTCTTATCAGAAATAGATAATAGGCTTATTAAACGCCAGTACAAGTATAGTGTAACATAAGCTGCCTGAGATGATTCCTCTGACTTGGGCTACAGTTCTGCAGAAGGTGTGTCTTGAAGAGTTTTCTTCGGACACTGGGAACTTTTTAAATTATACTCAGTCAAATAAACAAGGCACAGGTCTATATTTTTAAATACTATATTAGTATCCATTTCTGTTCTCTGTCTGTGTACAGCACATCTGGAATTGTAGCACTTGCTCAAAGCATTCTACATACTGATGGATTACAGCCAAAGAGATGAAAATGAGTGTGAGAGCAAATGATAGCCAAGTTTCATTTTTCACAGTTGAGTAATTTTATGCCCTAGAAAATATCGAAATAAGCCATATGACTTAGTTGAGAGAACATTTCTCAGGGGCTTAATATGGTGAATATGTTGGGTTGGATCCAGGTTGCTAGAATTCAATTCCTGGGATACCCTGTTAGAAGAAATGTGAGACAATTTTTGCCAGTTTTCCTGTGCATCCCCCTGCCACACCTGCTTTATGGCTTTCCAGAAAAAAAAATAGTACTGCAAGAAAAAATACACATCTCCTATTCCTCTAATAGGAAATTTCAAGTGTATCATGAAATTTCCTACTAGAGGAATAGGAGGTGTGTATTTTTTCTTGCAGTACTATTTTTTTTTCTGGAAAGCCATAAAGTGTATCATGAGGTGTTTTTGAAAATGGAGAAGGGCAATTCTGGTTCAATCCTACTGTGTGGTTGCTACTAACCTTACAGTATTATTATCCTTTTAAAAAATCTCATATCTTCACTAACAAAGTAGATGCAGAACCTAATTACATTTTTTCTATGTTGAATTGTTACAGATACTTCTTTTGAACCTTCAGTTGCCTTGGCAAGTCTTGTGCAACATATCCCATTGCAAATGATCACAGTGCTAATTGGAAGCCTTACTACAGATCCAAATGTGAAAGACGCAAGTATGACACAAGCTTTGTGCAGGTATGATCTTTGTACTGGATTTTAAGAATTTTAAACAATTGATTACATTTTAATATGTAATATGTAGTTAAGGAGTACAGACACATTTTTAGATGATGTATGCAGTTTCTGAAAGCACTAGATTAGAAGAAGGATTCTCGACTTTGTGAAGTTTATGCTTTAAGTATCTGAACTACAATAAACAAATGTGTGTTGTGTTTTTAAAGCAACTTCCGGGATAATCAAGGACTATAATTGACTAAAGGTTTTAATTGATTAAGGCAGCCTACACAGTACAATTCTTAGTTTTCAACTGAATTTTGCAGAAAAGAGGCCCCATAACATCTATTTTCCTGTACCAGAGGCAGTGTGGTTTGAGCATTGGACTATCCATCTGGAGACGAGGGTTTGAAATTCCACTCAGCTGTGGGAACACTCTCTTAGATGAAAGCAAGGCAAAGCTCTTCTGAACAAATCTTGCCAAGAAACCCCCATGATAGGTTTGGCTTAGATTTGCCATACATTGGAAAATACCGTATATACTGACCCGAATGTAATCCGAGGCACCCGATTTTACCAGAAAAAACAGAAAACATATTGACTCTAGTATAAGCTGAAGGTGGGAAATGCAGCAGCTACTGTTAAATTTCAGAATAAAAATAGATACCAATAAAATTACATTAATTACATTTAACCATCAGTAGGTTAAATGTATTTGAATACTTACATAACATTGTAATTTAAGATAAGGCTGTCCAACTCTGATCAAACGATTATTCCAACCTCCTTCGATGTAAATATGCTTACGTATGCTCCCAATAATAATAGAGTAAAATAATATATAATAATATATACATTAAGAATGTTCCACAGCACAATATTTATTAAAGGCTGCTTAAGTTTGTGTTAAATATTCAATATAAGACATATTTCTGAAACATAACACAATTCATCCACATTGTTCTCAAGATTAAATAAACACAAGATAGGAGCCTAAAACAAACACACACACATATATTGAAATATAAGCCGAGACACCCAATTTTACTGCAGAAAAACTGGGGAAATATATTGAGTCACGTATAAGCCAAGGGTGGGAAATGCATCAGCTGTTATTTCAAAAATAAAAATAGATACCAATAGAATTACATGAATTGAGGCATCAGTAGGTTAAATGTTTTTGAATATTTATATAACATCGTAATTTAAGATAAGACTGTCCAACTCTGATCAAACCATTATTCTAACGTTCAATGTAAATATGCTTACGTATGCTTCCAATAATAGAGTAAAATAATATATAATAATAATAGAGCAAATTAATGGATATGTAATATTAATAGTAATAATAGAGTAAAATAATAAATGTAATAATACTAATACTACTAATAACAGAATAAAATAATAAATAACCTTGAAAAAGCCAAGGGGGGCTTTTTCAGTCCTTTCCTCATTCAGCCTTCAAACCTCTTTACTTTTACTCTTTACCCCACTACCTCTGAGGATGCTTGCCATAGATGCAGGCGAAACATCAGGAGAGAATGCCTCTAGATCATGGCCATATAGCCCGAAAAAACCTACAACAACCCAGTGATTCCGGCCATGAAAGCCTTCGACAATACATTGATCTTTACCTTCTTCTGTCTCCATTTCCTTTTCTTCCTCCATCTTGATGCCTCCATGCATCTTCTATCCAAAGTTCTCCTTGGTCTTAGGAAAATGTGATTTTTCCAGGTAATTAGGAGACAGAAAGGAAATAGTTTCTAGCCTGGTTTAAAATTCAAGATGAAGAGGAACCTTGAGAGCAGTAGTGCTTTAACCTTGATTTTAAGCATGGGATTATCACTCATGTTTATGTCTGTAGTCAAGGCATTCTAGAACTTGGCACCATTTCTAGTTTACATTTCTAAGAGAAGGCTTCATGAATTGACAGGAATGTGAATTCACATTGTTTATTGGGTATCATCATTATGGTGAATCATATTCATTGCTGCATCCCCCACATTTTATTGAGTTGGGAGGACATTTAATAATTTGATTGCAGTAAATGTCAAAAATGTGAATGTTCATGTTTAGTAGCAATTTTTATTGTCGTTTGCATTGCTTTCTATTGTTTGCATTTCTATCATGGCAATTATCCTATATTTGAACATGAAATAAATGAAGGTGTTTATTATATGCCATCAGCTGCCTTTGATGTTTAGCGATAAATACAGATGGTAGGAAATGGGGAGATAAAAATGTTCACTGCCTGTGTCCATGGCATGTCCATGGCAAGCCTCCCCGAGTCCCTTTTTGGGAGATGGTGGTGGGATATAAATAAAGTATTATTATTATCATCATTGTCATTATTATGAGTCCATAATATTTGTACAACTGTATTTCACAGGGTGCTCCAGAAAACAAAGATGTGTGATTAAATACTTCAGTTTAAATAAAACTTTTCTGCAACAGAAAGGATATCTTGAGAAATGATGTTTTTCGAGAATAGAATCCCATTCAGTTTCATGGCTTTCAGTGTGATTTAATGGTGATCTTCATATAGTGTTCCAGTCATTTAAACTAACTCTTAACTTTCAGTTAGTTAATTGTAACATATGGTCTGTTACTGAAATTCGAATGTGCATCTGTCACTTTTCAGAATGATTGAGTGGCTATCCTGGCCATTGGCTCAACATGTGGAAACCTGGGTGATAGCACTGCTGAAAGGACTGGCTGCAGTCCAGAAGTTTACTATCCTTATTGATGTTACTTTGCTTAAAATCGAACTGGTAGGTATTACCACTCATTGATGGGATTCTTACAGTTATGCTGTGACTGGCTTTTCTTTCTATTCTGAACCAGTGGGTTGTAAATGTTGTGCAATACAGAACTAAAATTATTTCTCTGCTAAATATTTCAAATATATATTTATAATATATGTTTGTTTTTCAAAGGTTTTTAATCGACTTTGGTTTCCTCTTGTGAGACCTGGTGCTTTGGCTGTCCTTTCTCACATGTTGCTTAGTTTTCAGCACTCTCCAGAGGCTTTTCACTTGGTAAGTTGCCATTACCTGAGATTTAAATCTATTCGTTAGAAACAACATGCAGATGATTGCTGTAGATGTTGGTCACACCATAGTTTCCTCTCAAAAACATGGACTGTAGTCTTGTTCACAGAGGTATTGCAGCATCACTGCATTAATGACAGAAGTGTTCATAAACTTGGATCTGCTACTGGAGATACTGCTTTTGGGTACTGGTTTTAAATCAGTTGTAGTAACTTGTGAATTTAAGTTGCAAAGGTCAGTCAAAATTATCTTTTTTTCTGTAATCTGACTAACAAATATTAATAGTAATGATGATTGGAAATATTAGAAGTAAAAATCCTGGTTATATGATGGCTATTTCAGTGTTGAACAGCTGTCCCTGGAAATTCTGTTGCACAAAACAAATAAGTAAGACAGATTGTACAGTCAAAATCTTTATATGCTTACCTTAACACATCAAACATCTGTGGCAGAGAGTCTTTGATAGAGGTTTTGCCTTCTTTTCCTTGTGTTAAAGGCCTGTCATGTTTTTCATACCTTTTTTCAATATTAAAGGGCTGTAATTGTTTCTTTCTGATACAGTGTATTTTGCTTTGCCTCTCTGTTGATAAAGACTCTTTAATCCAGCAAAGGCTTCCATGGTCAGAAGGGGGAGTAGTGATCATTGCACCTTACCCCTTTGTCCTGCAATCCATAGTATACCACTGTTCCAGAGGTCTAAATCCAACAAAGCACTTCAATATTAACTCAACAGAAGTTCACTCCCTGCTCCTCCCAGCATCCAGAGAGAAAACTGCGTCTTCTCCAGAGAGCAGATTTTGAAGACCATGGGAAGGAGAGATTCTCGTAGTAGAAGTCAGTTGTTGGTTCTTGCCCAAAACTGTCCCTTGACCCTAATCCCGCAGAGACAAAGAAATAAAAATATAGCAATTTTGATGGCCATCCCTATTTGTGCAGAATAATAAACCTAAATTGATTTCCTAAAAGGTACTTACACACTATTAAGAAGCAAAAGTGATTTGTGCAGTATGTTCCAGATAGAAAAATAACATTCTTTATTGGTTTAATATTTTCATCAGATAATGCTTTTGCCAAAGTCTTTGGATTTCTGTAATATACTACATTACAAAATATGTTAACACCTATTGACACAAATGCTTTGATCTGTTTTTCTTAATATTAGATTGTACCACACGTAGTGAAACTGGTAAAATCCTTCAAAAGCAATAGCCTGCCTTCTAGTACAACGTTCTTGGGACAGCTCAGTGAGTTAATACACTGTATGATGTATCATTACTCAGGATTCCCAGAACTTTATGAACCTATTCTAGAAGCTATCAAGGTATGGTAACACAAATACTTAACTTTTATAGGATTGAAACTTGGTTCTTTATTGTCCTGTACCAAATCTATGTACTGTTTAGACTGACAGTGATGGTGCGAATATAATTAGTATGAAAACTGAAGAAAAGGAAAAAAAGAATCCCTGTAAGATATCTGAAATGTTATGTTATCAGTATCTATCTTGTAAAATATGATGTCTGATTTCTAGACAGAAAAGGGCTGAAATGTAGAGTATTATATGTGTATTCTTACCTTAAAGGAGCATTTTCACAAAGCTAATTTATCAAATGGGATTTTTAAGGTGTGGGGTGATATTTAGGTGAACATCTTCATTTCAGGAACCCTGTTTGAATTGGCTGAAAAATTCCCTATTGGGAAATGTGTTTCCCTTATACCATATGTTTAAATAAACTGTAGATAGGAATTGTTTAAATTTAACCACACAATTTCCTTGTAAAGATCAGGAATATATTCCATAAAGTGGGGAGAATATACACAATAGTGTGTTTGGCTCTATTTGATTTTTATTGGGGTATAAGGAAAAACATGTGTATATTAGAAACAGTTACATAATAATATTACAGTTTACAGTTTTACATGCTTTTCCTTTGTGGAGAAAGGGCAAGAAAACAGATCCAAAATAACCCAAAGACAGTTTTGTTTCTGTAACTAGTAAACTTAGTTTCTGAAAATTTGTTGTCTGTGCATACATAATGAAGCTTTGATTACTATAGTACAGGCACTTGCACTGCCTGTACTATAGAGACACTACATTGTATTTTCCGTAGACTTTATGACTGAACTGTAGTGACAAATGCATGGTAATGCACTGCCTGTGCTATAGAAGACAACTACATAGTATTTTCCCTACACTTCATGACTGAACTATAGAGTGACAAATGCATGGTAATGATGCTCAGTGTTCAGCCCACTTCCTCTCTTTCTCATAGGATCTTCCTAAACCCGGTGAAGAAAAAATTAAGATGATACTCAATCAGAGTGCCTGGACCTCTCAATCCAATTCCTTGCAGTCTTGTTTGTCGGGATTTTCTGGAAAATCTGAAACTGGAAAGACAGGTCTAATTAACTTGGGAAATACATGTTATATGAACAGTGTGATTCAGGCATTATTTATGGCCACAGAGTAAGTTTATATTTCTTTTTGTGAGGAAGATTGATATAGTTGTGTTTTTCTTTAGCCTGTGAAACGTTTATTATAGTTTGAGAATTACTGGCAAGCAGCAACTTCTCAGAGCTGATCCACATGCCGAAAGCTAGTGGGAAATATACTGAAGTTTAGAAATGTAAATACTATAGCAGACTGGGGATATACTGATAGGTCTTTTTAAACATTTTTATATCACTTATAACACTTAATGGTCGGAAATATGGGTTACTCTATTTCCTAAAAGGTACTTACACACTAGAAAGAAATGCACTGATTCACGATATTTCCAGTTCTTTAAAGTACTGTATGTACTTGAGTATAACCCAGGTTTTTCAGGCCCCCCATGGCTTATAAGGTTATCTATTATTTTACTCTGTTATTATTATAATATAATTACATTTATTATTTTACTTTATAATAATAATTATTACATTTACATTATTTTACTGTTATTATTACATTTATTATTTTACTCTATAATAATAATTACTACATTTACATTATTTTACTCTGTTATTATTATATTTATTATTTTACTCTAGAATAATGGTTTAGTCAGAGTTGGACAGTCTTATCTTAAATTACGATGTTATATAAATATTCAAAAACATTTAACCTACTGATGCCTCAATTCATGTAATTCTATTGGTTTTTATTTTTATTTTTGAAATACCAGTAGCTGATGCATTTCCCACCCTTGGCTTATACTTGAGTCAATACATTTCTCCAGTGTTTTTGTGGTAAAATTGGGTGCCTCGGCTTATATTTGAATATGTGTGTGTGTGTTTGTTTTAGGCTCCTATCTTGTGTTTATTTAATCTTGAGAACAATGTGGATGAATTGCGTTATGTTTCAGAAATATGTCTTATATTGAATATTTAACACAAACTTAAGCAGCCTTTAATAAAAATTGTATTGTGGAACATTCTTAAAGCAAAACATTCAGTGCTGCAAAAAACAAACAAACAAACAAAACAACCAACCCCTCCTCTGTACTAATAAATTGGATCTTTACTGTTAACAACATTGTATATATGACAGAGATGAAAATATATTAATCTAATTTTTTCACTTTTTTGCAGTTTTAGAAGACATGTATTATCTTTAAATCTAAATGGATGTAATTCATTAATGAGAAAATTGCAGCACCTGTTTGCATTTTTGGCTCATACTCAGGTGGGAAACTTTTTTTAAAAAAAATGGCTTGTTTAAGGTTTGGCATGAATGTAAATGTGTCACTTGTCTGCATGTATAAAACTAAAAGTGTTTTTTAAAGAGAAGGTTTAGATGATAATATTGGACAGTACCGTCAAGTTTCTCAAAACAATTATTTTAGTTGTAAACACAGAAACTATGTTTAGGTGACCATTGTTAGCTTTTCCATCAATGATTAATGAAACTAGGGCTGTGATATCAGTACTACATATAATCAGTGCAGTTTACAAATATCTTTTTAATGTTTGCATTTGACGGCCACTGCTTAAGAATTAAGGAAGCTTCTTAAAATTGTGTCTATATTTTTTACCTTTCCTTATTATGTTTGTTTACTCCATATAGAGGGAAGCATATGCTCCTCGGATTTTCTTTGAGGCTTCTAGGCCACCCTGGTTTGCTGCTAGAACTCAGCAGGACTGCTCTGAATATCTCAGGTTCCTCTTAGACAGGTAATACATTTTGGAAACCAGGAGTGGTGTTTGTGTTAAATACAACTTTTCAGCATATGAAATGTTTCATGGACTTTAAATGTTTTGAAAAATGCCATTATTTCCATCCCATACCTGCATCAGAACTGCAATATGTAGAAATATTCCCAGTTTTCTGGAACTGTAAACTCAATGTATATAGAAGAAATATGTTAGGGGAGGGAAGTTTCACTAGATTTTATATGGTTCCCTGAGCACAAAGTTCATTTGTACACAAAAGCAGAAATGACAAGTCTTGTTTTCTTTCGAATTAGGAGTCAGGGCTTTCCTATGATATTTGAAGTTCCATTCTTTCTTTCACTCAGACTTTGGTTTTTCTTTGCAATCCTGGTTCCTGGGCATTGCTTACAAGAAACTGTCTCTGTATGCTGAAATCTTACGTAGCCAGCTAAATTTTCGGTTTTCTTCTATACTTCAGTCCTATTATGGACTAAACTAGGGACTGAAAGTAACTGCTGAGTCTAATACTAGCAGTTGTGTATTATCATATGTCAGCCTTTTATTCTTCTATTTCTGTATATTAATAATTGGCTATCTGTCAAATATATTGAAAGAGCAATACATTCAGAGCGAGCCTTTTCTTAGGCTGAAAAAGCCCTCCCTCGGATTATAGTCGAGTTAAAGTTATTTATTATTTTACTCTATTTATTATTATTATTATTATTATTATTACATTTATTATTTTACTCTATTATTATTATTACATTTACAATATTATACTTGATTATTCTTTTTCTCTATTGTTGTTATTACATTTATTTTACTCTATTAGTGCTATTAGATTTCTTATTTTACTCTATTTATTATTATTATTACATTTATTATTTTATTTTGTTATTATTATTCTTACATTTATTATTTTAAATTATTATTACTGTTATTACATTTCCATTTCACTCTATTATTTTTATTACATTTCTTATTTTACTTTATTATTATTATTGGAAGGATACGTAAGCACATTTACATCGAAGAAGGTTAGAATAATGGTTTAATCAGAGTTGGACAGTCTTATCTTAAATTATAGATTTATGTAAATGTTAAGAAAACCATTTAACCTACTGATGCTTCAATTAATGTAACTTTATTGGTATCTATTTTTATTTTGAAATTTACCAGTAGCTGCTGAATTTCCCACCCTCGGCTTATACTCCAGTTTTTGTGGTAAAATTAGATGCCTTGGCTTATATTTGGGTCAGCTTATGCTCTAGTATATTTGGGTAAATGTCCCGATTTGATTTTTCCCCCCAAATAGGCTCCATGAGGAAGAGAGGACTTTGAAAGCACTATCTTCATCAGAGCTTCCAAGAGATATGAATGATGAGTCTCTGGTACAAGATGTGTCCAGTAAGACCCCACTGAGTACCAAACCATCTCCCACTGCAACAGAAGAGAGAACCCTAATAGAGAAAATGTTTCGAGGAAAACTGCAAACAAGCATATGCTGTTCAAACTGCAAAAGTACTTCTCACAAAGAAGAACCCTTCACAGATCTCTCACTTGCTTTCTGTCCCCCAGTATTCTTAGAAAATGGTGAACCACCAAAAGTGGACAATTTGTCTGAAGGAAAAGATACCAGCATGGAACCAGTCATTAATGCGGCATTCAGTCCTGTAGCAGAAACACCATCTGATATTCTAGCAGTCGGTGATTGCTCTGAAATGGTTACAAACGAAGGAACACCAAAGGACCATCCCATTGACTCAGACTGTGAGAATGTTACAGATCCAGTTGAATGCAAGGACAGTTTGCAGAAACATGTTGCTGAAGTTACCCCCTCTGTTATTGACTTACTGAATTATTTTCTGGCACCCGAGGTTCTTAAAGGGGATAACAAATATTACTGTGAAAAATGTGCCTCTCTACAGAATGCAGAAAAGACTATGCAAGTAGTGGAGGAGCCAGAATACCTCATTCTCACTCTCTTAAGATTTTCCTATGACCCCAAGTGTCATATTCGGCGTAAAATCTTAGACAATGTGTCTCTTCCACTTGTTCTGGAGTTACCTGTCAAAAGAACTGTTTCCACTTTAAGCCCAGTATCAGGTGTGTGGTCTGTGGGGGTTGAGTTTTCTGACACTGGTGAGAATCTAGCTAAAAAGCTCAAGCCTTCTGGTGCTGAAGAAGTGGGTTGCTCTCAGTTAATCCCCTATGTATTAAGTTCTGTTGTGGTGCACTCTGGCATATCTTCTGAAAGTGGACATTATTATTCGTATGCCCGAAATGTTTCCAGTTCAGGGTCCTCATCGGGATCTTTTGATCAGTCCCAAAGTCTGGCTTTAGCTTATCCACAGAATCATTTCATGGCTGGAGAGGCTCCGGTTGCAGCTGTTGAAAAGAAACTGGGGGAGACTGAGGTGTCCAAGGAGTGGTTTTTATTTAATGACAGCAGAGTGACATTTACCTCATTTCAGTCAGTCCAGAAAATAACAAGCAGATTCCCCAAGGACACTGCTTATGTGCTGCTTTACAAAAAGCAAAACAGTGCTAATGCTCTTAATGCTACATCAGCCAATGGGCTCTGGGTCAATGGAGATCCTCCTCTGCAGAAAGATCTTATGGATGCAATTACAAAAGACAATAAGCTGTATTTGCAGGTAAGATATAGGCATTGTTAATGTGAGGAAATACCTCTATATAAATGTTATGAATGTTGATTGATTGGCATGGGATTAGTCTTACGCCCTCTTATCTCAGTGGAATCCACAGGGCAAAAAGGGATAACCAGAGTAGTGTAATATTTTGGGTCTCCAAATAGGGAAACCAAAGTTGAAATCTTTGCTCAGCTATGAAAACTCACTGAGTGGTGTTGGGCAAGGTATCATTTCTCAGCCTTAGAGGAAATCAATGGCAAACCATCTGAATAATTCCTGCCAGAAATGCCCTAGGATAGAGTGTCCCATCAGTTAAATTCATTTGAAAGCTCATAACAAAAAACTTGCTTAGGATGGGACAGTCAGTGTTTATTGCAGTTTCAAGACATATGTTTCTATAATGATGATGATGATACTTTATTGATATTCTACCCATGTCTCCCCAGGGGGACTCAGGGCAGATTCTAACATGCTATGGCAAACATTCAATGCCTGCATAAAGCAAACAACTACCAACATGATAATCCCAGAAAAGCCCCACATATTTACAACAACATTCGAACTTAACATCAATAAATTAAGCCAATCATAATCAAACAAGAATTATACAATGATATAAAATCTGAACGTAAAATATTCACGTTAATTTACAAAAACCAACTATTGTTTACAAAATTTCATAGGTTGGCTTTGTGGCCAAAGTGATTGTATGGTCAGTGATGGTAACTGGGCTAACATAGACTAGAGAAGCCTGAGTACAAAATAGTTCTCAACCAGAAATCCAGTAGTAATCTCTCAATGTCTAATCCTCCTCCCCTCTGTATGCTAATGAGCAAATATGAGTCTTCTATTGTTTTTTAGAAAGAAAGGAGGGAGGTGGGCAGCTGTATTTCTTTAAGAAAGGCGTTCCAAGGGAGGGAATCATCCATGGAGAAGGCCCTCTCTCTCGTTCCCACCAGCTGTACTTGAGATGGGTGTCGGACTGAGAGCAGGGCCTCCTCAGCTGACCGCAGTGCCCGAACTGGTTTGTAAAAGGCGATGCAGTTAATCAAGTAGCCTGGACCTGAGCCATTTAGGGTTTTAAAGGTGATGATTAGCACTTTGTATTTAGCCTGGAAGGGGACTGGCAGCCAGTGGAGCTTCCATAACATAGGAGTAGATCTCTCCCTGTACGGGGCTTCAGTTAATAATCTGCACTTCTATATATGTACGTAATACTCTATATTATGTATAAATATCTTGTAAGCCGCTCTGAGTCCCCTTTGGGGTGGAAAGGGCGGCATATAAATGCCGTAAATAAATGAATAAATGAATAAATGTAGTTATGGTGAATCCAACTATGGTTCACATTTTAACTTCCAGAAAGTGCTTGGCCATTTATGTCATTGTGGAGCAGTCCCTGTGGAAATGGAAGTGCAAGTTATAACACTGATTTTGGTTATAGTGCCGGTTTAGTCATTGTATCTGTAACATAGATGTTCATAACATGACTCCTTGCATTTCCAAATTACAGAAATAATTAATGTGTACAGACAGAGCATCTTGAAAAAATATATTATTTACTGATTAAGGAAATATCCCGTTTTCTAGGCCATTTGGGGAGGATTTAATGTGTGGTTTAATTTCTGTTTTTCAACATAGACCATCAAAATTTGTCTGTTATAGCAGTTTGAGAAGCTCAGTTTCTCAAACTGCTATAGCAATGCAGTAGGATAATTTCTTATTTAATGGAAACTTAGTCTTAATCGTACATTTTGAGGGCAAAGTAGTATTAACCTTAAAATTTATCCCTAATATTTTTAGAAGCCTAATCTGAGCAAAGTAAGGTCAAAATGGCAGCTGATTCATTTTGTGCAATAACAGAAAAAAGTGCAAAACATATTATGAAACCATTTGCGCTGTTTACAGGGCATTAAATAGTACCCAGTTCAGTGTACAAACCGATCTTGTACTAATGCTAAGGCAGAGGAAGTTCAAAAATTATGACATCTCAGAACAGAAGTTTTATGCAGATCTACTGTTTTTAATATAGCTCAGAGTGATCAACAGCACTTCAAAACACAAAAAGTGTTAATAATATCCACAAATTCACAAAAGCAAAAACTTAAAAATAGAAGATGGTAGATAATATCTTGCCAGTATCATCTGGTGAAAGACAGCTATAAAGGGGGGTGCCTATGAAACTCAGTAAGATTTATAACACAAAATATGCTATTTGATATAAGTGCTGACTTACTACTCAATACTTGTTGATTAAGTATTTTGTCCCAGGAAATAAAAAACAAGGTACAAAAGAGACTTTGTTCATTTCATAAAGAAAATAGTGAGTTTCAGAGCTACAGAAATAGCATTTGTAGTTTTAGAACTATTGAAAAAAACCTGGCAATATATTGTTGAAGGCTTTCATGCCCTGAATGACTGAAGTGTTGTGTGGTTTCCAGGCTGTATGACCATATTCTAGCAGCATTTTCTCCTGACATTTCACCTGCATCTGTGGCTAGCATCTTCAGAGGATGATTCTGCCACAGAAACAGGAGAAAATGCTGCGAAAACATGGCCATACAGCCTGGAAACCATGAAACAATCCAAGCTGGGAATAGTTCATTACATCATACCTGTTTTGTTTCCACACAAAAAAAGAAAACTGAGATTAAGAACTGCAGAAATAGCATTTATAGTTTTAGAACTGTTGAAAAACAACCTGGGAATATATAGTTGAAGGCTTTCACTTTTTAAAGTGTAATGGATTTTGTCTTGCTTCTCATAGCTTTTGCTTCTACCTTTGCTTTATTAGATGCCATAGTACCATTGACAGTATTACTTAATTGGGAATTACCTCTAGAGTAATTCAACAAAAGCATTCACCAAGCTTTAAAAATATATAATGAAGACAGAACCAAGGACCTCATCACACTAAAGAATGAATCCATTTTAAATCCGGTCGCTCCCTCCTGCAGAATTCTGGGGTTTGTTGTTTAAGGAGGAGCTTTTAACAGCCTCACTAAACTACAAACCCCAGAATTCTGCAGGTAAGGTGTCCATAAAGTCTCTTTGCCATTTAAAAATTAGTAAATGCTAAAGAGACTTTATGGACACCCTGTATATGAAATCATAGTCTGGACATTTTTATTACTGACTAGCAAATTGTTTAGGAAATTGTGCTGTTTCCTTTTTCATGGTTAGATTGTCTTTTGCAATCTAGGCTTTTGTCCAGATTCCTATTACAAAAGTAAGAACAATCTAGGAAAATTTTTGTTTTGGGTCTATTAGCAAGCTTCACCAAACCTATGGCTATATTAATGGAAAGTAAGATAGAGTGTGTTGTGCACAGTGGTGACAAACAAAATGCCTAAAACATAGGTCATTCCAGTTCACCGCTGTTGCTACTTCAAAGTTTACAACCTCTTACTCAACTAAAATGTGTTCCAGTAAGATTGCCAAGGAACTGAACAGAATCCCTACAGCAAAGCATTTGATACACTTAATAATCCCCAGTACTTTAGTAAATAAGAGAGCCTTGGCCTAAATCTTAAAACAGGCATTGCAAAACCAGAAATCTTTTAGAATAGGATTTGCATGGTAGCTTTTATTATCCACCCAAGATACATTTTAAAAATAAAGCAACTTCAGTGGTGGTACCGCAGGGGTACAGTACTTCAAGCCCTGGGACTGAATCCAACACCCCTGCAGTACAGCTCTACCCGCTGAACTTCCCCAGAGCACTGCTTATGTATAGCAACATTCTTGGATAGTTTTCCAGTTTTTGTATTAGTTTTTACCAAAGCCTCCTAAGATTTACACTGTGCCAGCAAAATATAATAGGATTTTTGATCCAACTTTCTTGTTGTTGATCCCATAACTTACTGTTGCACCCCCAAGAACTCTCACACCAGAAGCAACTTGCAGTTTCTCAAGTCGCTCCTTACACGACAAAAACAAACAAAAAAAACCCCAAGAACTTTTTTGAAACTCAGTTAGTCTTCTGGTGGCACAGCAGGTTAAACTGCTGAGCTGCTGAACTTACTGACCAAAAGGTCAGCAGTTCGAATCCAGATAATGGGGTGAGCTCCCTCTGTTAGCCCCAGCTTCTGCCAACCTAGGAGTTCAAAAACATGCAAATCTGAGTAGATCAATAGGTACCACTTCGGCAGGAAGGTAACTGCGCTTCATGCAGTCATGTTGACCATGTAACCTAGGAGGCGTCTATGGACAACGTCGATTTTTTGAAATTGAGATGAGCACCACCCCCCAGAGTCGGACATGACTAGACTTAATGTCAAGTGAAACCTTTACCTTTTAGGATATTGGGAGCCCCCGATGGCGCAGTGGATTAAACCGCTGAACTTGCTGACCAAAAGGTCAGCGGTTCGAATCTGGGGTGGGGGAACTCCTACTGTTAGGCTCAGCTTCTGCCAACCTAGCAGTTTGGAAACATGCAAATGTAAGTAGATCAATAGGTACTGCTTCGATGGGAAGGTAATGGTGCTCCATGCAGTCATGCCGGCCACATGACCTTGGAGGTGTCTACAGAAAACGCCAGCCCTTCAGCTTAGAAATGGAGATGAGCATCATCACCCCTAGAGTTGGACACAATTAGATTTAATCTCAAGGGAAACCATTACCTTTTTATATAGGATATATCTCTTGAGGATTGTGATAATTCTAGCTTTTACTTAACTATTTCTGTCTTTCAGGTGTGCACATAGAAATTTGGATATGTGATTGACATAAATTTGCTCATTCTTGCTGTATAGAAAACATTTCTGTGCTTTGGAAGTTGACATCAGTATGCTCTGGATGAAAAGGTGTCAAATTTGAAATAGCACTCGTCCCTTTTGCTCTTGAGAATAGCATGCATTTTTCATAATCAAGCTGTATATATGTATAAGAGTGCTTCTCCTTTCTGTTTCAGGAGCAAGAGCTTAGCGCTCGGACACAGGCCCTACAAGCAGCTGCCGCTTCGTGCTCTTTTCGGCCAAATGGATTTGATGACAATGACCCCCCTGGAAGTTGTGGGCCGACTGGTGGAGGCGGTGGAGGAGGATTTAGTACTATCGGAAGGCTGGTGTTTTGAGGAGGAAAACACCCAATGCACTGGTTCCCTAAACAGCTTCCACTACTGCTTAGGACTGTTATCACTGAACTGTATTAAATAATGTACCAAGCTTTTTTTTCAAGATGTGATCTTTGGTCTGAAGAGAACTTTTTAAAATTTGAAATAAATACATGCATCATGGAGAAATCTACCTCTTAAATCCAGTTGTTTTTATGGAAAGATCTTCTTGGCCAAAAGAGGAATTAGAAGATATTTATAGCACTAGATTAACTAATAAAAGCACTTATAATATGTAATTCAAGTCCTTTAATGAAAAAAAATTAATTGAAAACAAATGATTACTCGAGTCCAACAGTATTTGTGATAGGTTTAATTATTTTTCCCCAAAAAATCTATAAATCTCAAAAATCACTAGAGATGGTGACTACAAATAAATAAAAATCCAAACTATTAAAAACATAATCCAGGATAAGAAATATTCCAATTACAGCATTACAGGTACATATGTAAAGAAGTCACTTTAATGTGCTTAGTAGCTCACTTTTTAAAATGTGCATGGTCTTGTAGGAGCAAAGTTTATAAGGGAAAAAAGAGCAAAGTTTGTAGTGTTTTCAGTTGCTTTGAGGATTATAAAATTATTTCAGGGAATTTATCTGTTGTGTTTTAAGGGAAGAAACTATGTATGTGCCTTGTTGTACTGTAACAAAAGTACACAATTTTTGAGGCTGCAGAAAAGTGTAGAACATGAGATGTTAATTTCTTGTTTCATAGCGAACATCATTAAGTTTTGAAAGTGTTAGTTTCTCCAAAAGTAAAGTCTGATGGTTCTATAAAAAATACTGGTTGCTTGTGATTTTAAGCTCTAAAACAGTGGTTCTCAACCTTCCTAATGCTGCGACCCCTTAATACAGTTCCTCATGTTGTGGTGAACCCCAACCATAACATTATTTTCATTGCTACTTCATAACTGTCATTTTGCTACTGTTACGAATCACAGTGTCATTATCTAATATGCAGGATGTATTTTCAGTCACTGGACCAAATTTGGCACAAATACCCAATACACGCAAATTTGAATATTGGTGGTGTTGGGGAAGGGTTGGTTTTGTCATTTGGGAGTTGTGTTGTTTATTCATTCAGTCGCTTTCGATTCTTGTGACCTCATGGACCAGCCCACGCCAGAGCTTCCTGTCGGCCGTCGCCACCCCCAGCTCCTTCAAAGTCAATGAGTTGTAGCTGCTGAAATTTATAGTTAACCTACATCAAAGACCATTCTGAACTCTGCCAATGATGGAATTGAACCAAACTTGGCACACAAAACTCCCATGACAAACAGAAAATACTGGAAGGGTTTGGTGGGCATTGACCGTGAGTTTTGGAGTTGTAGTTCACCTACATCCAGAGAGACTTGTGGACTCAAACAATGATGGATCTGGACCAAACTTAGCATGAATACTCAATATGCCTAGATGTGAACACTGGTGGAGTTTGGGGAAAATAGACCTTGACATTTGGGAGTTGTAGTTGCTGGATTTATAGTTAATGTACAATCAAAGAGCACTCTGAATCCAGCCCACAATGGATCTGCACCAAAATTGGCACACTACCTATATGGCCAACATTGAATACTGGTGGACTTAGGGGGCTGTTTTTGAATTCTGAGAGTTGTAGTTCACCAACACCAAAAAGGAAGAGGACAGGCAGAGAGATCTTCAGCCTTTGCCAAAAGGTTTCCTAAGTCCATCAGAAACACGTGTTTTATGATAGTCTTTGACAACCCCTTTGAAATCCCCCTCACAACCTCCCAGGGATCCCAACCCCCAGGTTGAAAAACACTGCTCTAAAATGGCATAAAATTGGTTCATTGCTATTCTGGTTGTGGAACACTAAAAAAATAAAATGGTAATGTTATCCATATTGTTGTGATAAACTGTTTGGGACAAAGGACACATTTCATTTCCACTTTATATCTTTTGGAGGGGAGAAGGAAGAACCTTTTTTCCTCCTTCACTCAAAGGACAATGGTTGTGAAACAAACTAAGTTAAATATTTGGCTAAGATATCTCTGTCTGCTAGATTTCTTCAGTTATCCTCTGTTGCTCCATCAATATGATCTAATCAGGATTATACAGGTTTTGGAGGTCATTTGGTGGAAATGTTCTAAGCACTTTTAAGTTAAATACACACTAGTTGGAATTATTCTGCATTGTGCTCCAGGGTGCAGATTTCAGATATGAGTAAATCTTTGAATTCAGCAAAGAAGGGAGGTATTCAGGAATTATAAAACTGCTGTATTGAAGTGCTGATCTGCAAAAAGGCCCTCTAGGCTATTGTTTAAATTAAGTTTTGTGCTTTTGTTTCTGTAGTTGGATTTATACAGGGGCATTACTTATTTTGGAGACAGAGATGCCAACTTTATTTAGATATACACCTCATAACATATCGTAGGGCAGGAACATGGTTACTCCCAGTTAAGGATCTCCCCACTTCCACTCCATTTACCATGTCCTCATTGTTGGCTTGGATTAGATCCAGAATAGCCAATCCCCTCTGCAAGGCAAGTGAGGAATTTGTTGGACTTTGTACTCTTGGCCGAGCATATTTTCCAAGAAATATCAGAATAGTTGAAACTCTTATTACTACTAAATCTCTTCTTTCTGCATGTTTGGTCATCTGGTCAAGGAAGGCTTCATCTAGTTCTTCAGACTGACTTGGAGGTCTGTAGTAGACCCCCCACAACTACATTTTTCTCAGTCTTTGTTCCTTCATTCTTATCCAGATGCTCTAAACCTGGTTTTCAGGATTGAAATCCTGCATCTCTTCACAGATGTAAACATCCTTGACATAATGATACCACCCTCCTGTTTGTCTTCTTTCTCTGAAGTAAGTTATACCTCTCCATTATTACATTCCAAATATAGGACGCTTCCCACCAGGTTTCAGTTATGACTATTGCGTCGTAACCGTTTTGTTGTGCTAAAAGTTCCAGTCCATCTTGCTTTTTTCTCATGCTCTGGTCATTACTGTAGAGACATCTAAACCCTGTGATAAGCTTGTGGAAACAAAGGTTGGTGATAAAGCTTCAGTGGAGACACCTTGATAATTACGCTTCCAGGAGTGAATTTCCCTTCCATGGGGTAGATTTATCTCACCTCCTGCTGTCTCACCCCTATTCTTAAGTAGGAGTCATTTGTAAGTTGGGTGTTTGTAACTAGGGGACTGCCTATATCTCAAATACAGCAGACCCTTCCTATCAGCAAGGATCTGGTTCAAGGACCCCAATGGATACCAAAATCCATGGATGCTCAAATCTCATATATTCAGTAATGTAATAAAATATTGTGCCATATATAAAAGGGCAAAATCAAGGTTTGTTTTTGAGTTTCTTTGGTGGAGGAAGTATGTTCAAGATGGATACAGAAATTTGGGTGCATAATCTGAGATATGGAGGGCTAACCATATTTGGATAACTTTAAGAACTTAAGGTTTGAGTAAGAGGCTAGAAATGAGAGTGAAGTCTGTCAAGTACAAACTAAGTTTAACATGTACCATATGAAATTAATAGTGCAATGTGTGTTATGTTTGAGTATGCTACTGTTTGTTTGTGTTTTTTAAAAAACCTTTTTGGCAAGTTTTTCTGAGAGCATTGGCATTATGAAAGAAGTTTCAGTGTCCTTTACTTGGAGCCCTTTCCTGTACTGGCACTTGTGTCATATGTGCTTTCCACTGCAAATCTTAATGTGTCTTAAAAGCCACAAAAAACAAGCAAACCCTGGCAAAAGTTAATAGCATCCATAATATTTTATTGCAATATAGCAATACGCATTAAAGAACTGTCACTTTAAAAGAGAGGTCACAGATACCAAAAGATACCACTTCCAATGTGTTGCATTCTCTAATTAAAATAATACTGAACCAGCATAAAAGCTGGTGCTGTTGTATAAATATAGACTGAACTCTTAAAAGTAAAGGTGTTTGTTGTTTCTTGCAATCAGGGCCTATTATGGCTTTGAGATGAATACAACGGTTTCTTATTAGCCCCTTCTTCTTTGCCTGATACAGTCAGCATTCTGTTCTGCCAGAGCAAGCCTTGGTGTTCTATATCTATACCACCAAAATAATTCAGATTACTCAGCCACGGAGCTTCCCCATATTCCTACCCACAATATACAGCACTGAAACTGTATTGATGTCCACACCCCAAATTAGAATCAGCACCATTTTAAATTATTTACCTCTGAAGTGATTTGCCATTATGCTCTGGTATGCCGCTGCTGCCTTTCTGGCCAAATAGCTTTCCAGGCAGAGCCCCGCTGGCATGGTCACTTGCATTTATGTCAGAATAAGTTGTCAGGCATGTAGTCAATGGTGAGGAGGCAGCCCTATCAAGCCCCTCATCACTGATCTCATGGCTTGGCACCTCGGTCCAAGCAGCCCCGAGATGAAAGGAAGGCAATGGTAAATCACTTTGGAGGAAGCAGTTTGGCTTGGAAAGCAGTGCCCCCAAAGAGAAAGGATCGCAATGGCAAAAAACTCCAAAGGAGTTTGGGAAGGTTCAGGAGCCTCCTACCATTTCCCAGAGCAATTATTCCATTCGGAACTGATGATTGATGAAGTTCTTTCAAAGCCTGCAGGATAAACAACTCAAAGGGGAAACCCATTTTCTCCGCAACAGAGTGGTTGAGCTCTACTGGAGGCCCTGGTGATACAGCAATTCTTTGAAAGGTGTGGCAGGGGAATGGAATGTCTGTCTCTCCGTCCATCTGTCTGATATGCCTGGCCAAGAAAGAAGTCTCCATGAGTATGGATGAGGATACAAGAGGATAAACCTAAGTACGGTATGCTCAGCATAGGCTAAAATGATCTGTTTATCAATTGGAAACCATTCTACTTCTCTGCTTCCTGAATTAATGGTAGCCTCTCATTTTGAGTATGGGTTATGCATCAGGATAATGAAATGTTCTGGCACACCATCTCTTTAAAAGTGATCTGTAGTTTTTCATAATCTATACAATCAAAAATTTCACTATTATTTATAAAACATTATTTATAAAACACAGGCTGATTTTCTTCTGGAGTTCTTTTGTACACTCTTATTATCCAACGAATAACTGCATATATTTTCATGATATGTGCTCTACTGCTGAATTCTGCAGAGCACACATCCAGATTGGAAGTGGAAAGACAAAG